GCAGCTGACTCCATCTCTCCTTTTAAGATGATAATCCCATAACCACAGCATACACAATTTGCGTCAGCATTCATTTATACATTTTAAGTTACCCCAGAACACCTCATCAGTTTCTCACTGCTCAACACATCCACACATTCCGTTCAATAACATTTTTGGTTTCATAACACCTTAAAGTCATAGGACCATTCAGGCTTCCCACCAGATTCATAATCCAGTCACTCATTCAGAATTGGAGCCACCACCACAGCAGCACACAAGGGCTATCGTAACAACACATACAAACACTAGGAAAGTAGTCTCCCGACGCCTTCAAATCTTATATCTGACTCAGCCACAGCCATCTCAGGGAAGCTCAGAGGACCCTCACCAGCAGACGCAGTAATCCCAGCGGCCAAGGGCATGGGCCTAGTCCAGGGAGAGAATACGACCCAACCATACCAGCTTCCCGAGGGCAGAGGAACTACCCAGTCTCCCAAGGGCGCGGGCATGACCCAGCCATCTAGCTTCCTTTCTTCCTTCCAGCTGATTTGCACTCAGCCTTCTCCCCCTTTTCACTCACCTAACTCCAGTAGGAGTTCTCTCCCTGCCCAGGCCCCCTTGTCACCCCCGCCCCCCCCCCGGCCGCTGCCACAGAAGTTTTCACTGCCCCCCAACTTTTCTAACTTCTGTAGGACCCCGCCCCCCCCATGGCTCTGGCCCCCGCAGGGGCGTTACCCCGAGCTTCGATTCTCGCAGGAATCATCTCACTGCCCTGGCCTTAGCTTTTTATATTATGTCATTCCATAATGACATATAGTATAGCACTATTTATTTTTCTCTCTGTTTGATTTTATTTATATAAATTTATATCTATATGCACCCACGCATATAAATATGAATTTATATATAGTGCTGTCACCCTCACGCTCTGTTCCCGCAGGAACACCCCCAGAGCACCTATACCGCCCGTCACCCTCCAGTAAGAAGTCTTCACCTCCCCCTCATCTTTCCCGACTCCTACTGGAGCAGCTAAATAGCTCACCCAACCCCGAGCTGTGACACGAGTCATGTCACCGACCCTCCCCGGCCCTAGCTTTTATTTATGTTTATTTTTGTTTATTTCTCACACTTATCTTTTATTTTTTAAATTTATTTATATATATGTATATATATATGCACCCACGCATATAAATATATATTTATATATAGTGCTGTCACCCTCAAGCTCTAACTCCCGCGGAGTTAATCCCGAGCACCGGACCCCCGCAGGGGTCATCGCCCAACTGCCATTTCCCCCTTCAGCTGGGGCTTCACCGACCATTCCTTTTCCCGACTCCAGCTGGAGATGGCACATACAGCTCTCTCTCCCGCAGGAGAGCCAAGAGCTTCGACTCTCGCAAGAGTCAGTAAAAACGCCCCCCCAAGGCCCTAGATTACCCCATTATATATTTATATATCTATATGTTTCATATAAATATATAATTATATATAGTGCTGCCACCTCCCAGCTCAATCTCCGCAAGGAGTGTTCCTCGAGCAAATTACTCCTTTGGAGTCCCCGCCCCCCCTGCCCCCCTTCACCCCCCTCTCCAGCCGGAGTCCTTCACTCCCCTTCCCTTGTAATGACTCCAGCAGGATTCCCGCCCACCCCATGGCTCTGACCCCCGCAGGGGTCTCCCCGAGTCTCTACTCCAGCAGGAGTATTCACAGCCCAAGCCAACTCTGCTCGGGTTCCCGCAGGAACCTGTTTCACCCTTTGCTCCAAAGGAGCCCTCTTTACCTTTTCTTTTTCAAATAACTATATCCAGCAGCCGGATATAGCATTTCAAGCCTTTTGGGGAGTTTCTTCGAATACACGGCTGCTGTCCCGAGCTTCATGCATTTGGGGAGCTCTCGAGAACCACCTGATCTCGTACTCCCCTCACATGCTCTATGGACCTGGCGGGAGCCCTGGGCTCAACTATCTCCGAGCTCAGGGTTCTCTCCCGGGACAGCATGCCAAACCTGCTTACAGCTGTCAAGCAATATCTAAGTGTGAACTCTTGAAGTGAAGTTTTTAAACTAATTTCGAGAGGAGCACGTGATATAATTGACAGCAGCTGGCCACCTATCTACACTCATTAGTTAGCCAATCAGATCTATCCTAACCCACTATAAGTAGCCTAGCTAGACATTACTCCCTTATCTTCGTTTTCCGAAGAAACCCCCCATCCACCCCTTTCTCCTCCTTTTCTCCTTTACAAAAAGGGGAGCTCTCGAGAACCACCTGATCTCGTACTCCCCTCACATGCTCTATGGACCTGGCGGGAGCCCTGGGCTCAACTATCTCCGAGCTCAGGGTTCTCTCCCGGGACAGCATGCCAAACCTGCTTACAGCTGTCAAGCAATATCTAAGTGTGAACTCTTGAAACAATCATAGTCGTATAAAACTGCACAATGTTGCAAATTATCTGGAGTGAAACAGACAGAAATAATTAAATGTCAACACACAGGTCAAACAGACGCCATCTTCTGGAGAAAATAACAACCTGCTTACTACACTTGGTTTACTACAAGCCTCATACAATCAATCAATCAATCAATCAATCAATCAATCAATCAATCAATCAATCTATCTATCTATCAATTCTCAGACACATGAAGAGCGTTTATAAAGGTATATACACATTAGTCACATTAGTGTTTGTGAGATGTTTTTAAAAAAAGATATAATTATGAAATGATAATTTTTTTCTGTTGTGATTTCCATTATTTACATTAAGTTTGTTATTTACTTCCTCTAACTTAAGTTTTATGTTTAAAAAAAAAGATTCACATTTATTATAAGTGCCAGTTTGGTGCCATTTCTCTTGGTTACAAATACAAACCACATTTTCATTTCATTTTTTAATAATATTGAAAAGCACATTTTAAAGTTGATCCAAAGCCATGATTGTTTCTTCTTCACTGATTTGCTCATTCAATGCCTGAAAACAAAAAAGCAAGCATGAAATTAATCAGTACCAACTCTTTCAACATTTCATCCAGTAACTTTTTAAAGCATTTATATGCTGTTAAATAGCTGATGGTTAGTTTTTTGTTTACAGTTTACACCATACAGTTGAAATCAGAATTATTAGTCCCTCTTTGATTTTCTTTTTTCCTTTTTTAAAAATTTCCCAAAAGATGTTTAACAGAGCAAGGAAATGTTCACAGTATATCTGATAATATTTTTTCTTTTCGAGAAAGTGTTTATTTGTTTAATTTCAACTAGAATAAAAGCTGATTTAAAAAAAAAAAAACATTTTAAGGTAAAAATTATTAGCCCCTTTAAGCTTTATTTTTCAATAGTCTACAGAACAAACCATCGTTATACAATAACTTGCCTAATTACTCTAACCTGCCTAGTTAACTTAATTAAGCTAGTTAAGCCTTTAAATGTCACTTTAAGCTGTATAGAAGTGTCTTGAAAAAATTTATTTGCTGTCATTATGGCAAAGATAAAATAAATCAGCTATTAGAAATTAGTTATTAAAATTATAATGTTTAGAAATGTGCAGAAAAAAAATCTCTTCTTTGAACAAAAATTGGGGGAAAAATTTACGGGGGCTAATAATTCAGGAGGGCTAATAACTCTGACTTCAAATATGTGACATGATCATTCTTTAAATATTATTTGGCTGTTTATTTGTAAACATCGTGAGAGAAGAAAATAAAGTTTAAGTTGCAGAACATCAGTCAACATTTTGAAAATATTGCAATTGGATTGTGCAAAACTGTAATGAAAGAAAAAAAACTAGACAATTCCACTAATAGCAAGAGAAGAGTCAAGCCATCTTAGTGGAATATAAGGGAAAGTTCATCCATTAATGATTTACTCACATCCTCCACTTGTTCAAACTGATTTTCTTTCTTCTGTTGAACACAAAGTACGATATACTGAATAATATTGGGGGAAAAACAGCCATTAGTAATATTTCCACCCAAAGATGCAAATAAGACTTCTGTGCAAAACTGGAATATTGCATAAAACATTTGTGAATAAGCACAGCTTCCATCCAATGAATCAAAGAGAACATAATCATTACTTCCTGATAAACTGGAAACAAATATCAAAAAGAAAAATGGAGTTGCTGCAGTAGGAGAAACTGTGGATCTTTGTTTTCTTAAATGATAAATTACTTGCGCCTCAGCTGGTTTATGCTGTATTTTTTTTAATCGCACAATCTGTAAAACAAAATCACATGACATTTTAATGCAAATGCTGGAAATTATTTGGTTTGCAACATAAATGCACAGTTTTTCAGAGGGTAACATTGAACTGGGGTTTTGGCAGGGTTTGTGGTGTTGGAACCATGAAGGGGGGAGTTTATTAGGCGAGTTTTCCGAGAGGAATAACAAAAAGGGAGGGTGGCAGGAGATGGTTGTGCAATACAGGAGACTCCGGGAAAAAACAGAAGTGCCCATTGCTAGCAAATTACAATTACCCACAAGATAAAAACAAACCCTCAAAGTGTATTCTGACAAAGATCATTTCAGCCAGATGTTTACCAAAATAAGACCTCACTTGGTGTTTGTATTATTTTAAAGCAGCTCATTCGATTTACCTTATTTTTTTTGAACAAGTAAGGAAGAGTGGGGACAGTTAAAACACATTTTGCAATCCGTTTAATTTCTCTGAGACAGTTTTTTGTGAAACCCACTTTTTTATGCAATAATGGGTTTATTATATTAAAACTTTTGGTTTCCACAATAAACTTCCACAAACATCTATCAAACACCCATTAACATTGCTATTATTCATTCATTCATTCATTTTCTTTTCGGCTTAGTCCCTTTACATTGCTATTATATGTATACATATGACAAGAATTTAAGAAACAAAGTCAAACATTGCAACTGACCCCAAGCAGGGGGATGGTTGCAACAACCTACAGGGGCAGTTGCAACATTCATTAAAATGTATTGATATAAAAAAATTTAAAACATCAGGTTGGATTTTATTTAGTTTTTTTTTTTTTTTTTTTGGTAAAAAGACTAAATGAAATTTGTTAAATTGATTATATAAATACAGACTATTAAAAGAGCAAGCAACAACTATGTTTTGGTCAGTTATCAGGCCTAAAAAAAACCTGAACAAAAATATTATTACTGAAAATTTAGGCTGAGCTTTTACTAAACTACTTCTTTGAACTCTAAAATGAATTAATTCATAAAAAATATCATTCTTTCTTTGACATTTAATTACATTGACACTGTAATAAAACTACAATTTTAAATATGACAAGCTTTTAAATTAATTTTGTAATAGGGGACAGTTGCAACAGCATGTTGATTAAACTTCATGTGCTGCTGTAGCTTTAACACTTGATCGCTATACCCATTTGAAACTAAGAAAAAAGGGATTAAAAAAAACACATTAGACAGCATGATACATTATCTAAACACTAAAAAAAAACTTTTTTAACCTCAAAATTAGTTTTATACTGAAGGAATGGTCACACAGGTCTGATTTCCTTCTGACTGAAGGAGAGTACTTAGAATATGTAGCATAAATATCTCTAGCTCATCTTAACTGAATGGAAGAATAAGTCTTGCCCTGTGTTGCAACTTGCAACCGTACCCACTATCCCCTAATAAAATGCTGACTATATGTAATAAAAAAACACATCATAATGCATTGCAAATACAAAATATAATCGAACCAACTTTTTCCATAGGCAAATCTTTGCTGCAAGCACGTATTCCCTCATTCCTCCTCCTCCTCTCTCTCTCTCTCTCTCTCTCTCTCTCTCACTCTTCTCAGTCTCTCCGTTATGGCGCTACACTCAAACTCAAGCTCTGTATACGTGGCGCTTCTCTTCATTATAAACTATATTTGTATTACAGCAGGCAGTGGATTATCATCAGAGAGTTCATCTGGACTTTTACCCCCTTACGATGAGCTCTACTACCGCGGGGTTCGGGCGTACTTTAGCGAGGATTGGGAGCGCGCGGCGGAGTTTCTGGAGAAATCCATTTCCACCCGATACAAACTCCTGCGGATAAGACGGAAATGTCACGACGAGTGTTTAACAGCAGGAGATGACAAAATATCCGAACAAGGTAACTAATAAACTGTTGTAAGTTACATGTGCACAACTTGTTTTATTGCATCTGAATCATGTATGTGTGTGTTTCTGCCTCAACTCGTTCCAAATACCACAAACTCAGTCTAAAACATTCAACCTGGAGGCTGGAGTTTTCACTTCAGTGCATTTTATTGTGTGTGTGTAGACAAAGAGGATATGATTTTCTGGGACCTGGGGGTTCTTGAGTGGATCCAGGTACGAGCTGAGTGTGTGAAGTTCTGCATGAGTCGAAGTGTCTCTCCTGCTGCGCTGCTTCCTGTGTCTTCAGACATTGAGTATGAATTTGGGACACGAAACCCTTACAACTACCTCCAAGTCACCTACTATAAGGTAATGTTTAGATATGACAATTATCCCAAGTTGAAAGTTCTGAGTAATAAGTGTGACCTGTAAGTTTAAACTCTGTGTTGCCCCTCTGTGCAGTTGAATAAAATGACCAAAGCAGCTTCAGCAGCTCACACATTCTTTGTGGCTAACCCGAGTCACCTGGAGATGAGGAACAACATCGAGAAGTACAAGAGGATGTTAGGAGTGAAAGAGGAATTTTTCCAGGACAGAGAAAGAGAGCATGAGCAGCACTGGGTGAGTAAATATGTGTTTCAGATGTTAACTAAACATTTTGATTCATTTTTGGTCATTTAAATAAAGCTAAAATTAAATGTAAAGATAAGATGAAACTTAAAGACCCTACATTTTTGAAATGTTGCATTATTAGCTTCATAACATAACTTTACATAACATCAACAAAACCAAAGCATACTAAAAATATCTAAACTAAAACTGACAATAAGGGCTGCACAGTGACGCAGTGGGTTGCATGTTCGCCTCACAGTAAGAAGGTCACTGGTTCGATCCTCGGCTGGGTCAGTTGTCGTTTCTGTGTGGAGTTTGCATGTTCATGTTTGCGTGGGTTTTTTGCTCTGGTTTCCCCCTACAGGACCAAAAATGTGGTATAGGTGATTTGGGTCAGCTAAATTGTCCGTAGTGTATGTCTGTAAATGAGTGTGTATGGATGTTTACCAGTGATGGGTTGCAGCTGAAAGGGCATCCGCTGCGTAAAACATATGCTGGATAAGTTGGCGGTTCATTCCGCTGTGGTGACCCCGGATTAATATAGGGACTAAGCCGAAAAGAAAATGAATGCATGAAAAGAGACAAACAGTAAAAATAAAATATTACAATAAAATTAATTTAATTAAAAAATAATTCAAAACTTAAAAACTCTAAAATTGCAACAGGACCAAAATGTGCAATAAAAAGGTTTTCTCACATGGCTTGTTTGCCCCGCAAAAATAATTTTCATATTTTGTGTCCAGGACATGGAGTATCAGTGATTTTTGTTTGTCTCCACTCTTCTTGTTTTAATTTATCAATCAGTCCTTCATTAGATAGTTTCTAATAATCAAAATTGTTCTTTTTCTCAAACTTTTTTTAATGGCAAAATGGTCATAGTTCGGCAGGCTATTTTTCAGCTCCATTTTATTCCTTTCACACTCAATTGGCAGTCACTTAAGTCAAATGCATTCAACAGATTGAATTTGTTAACCTAGGCTAAAATGTCAGGATACGATCAATTTTAGGAACTTTGGCTACAAAATGACCACTTTAAAAACAGGATGTTAAAAAATAGATGGCAAAAAAAAATGATTGTAAAGTTTGTAAAACAACTATCAAATATGGGAAAGGGAGCACTTCAAAGTCATGCAAACAGTAAGTGCTATAAAAGACCTACAAAATGATATTCAAGCTAAAAACATTTTACAATTATGCAAAGCACAACAGTGGCCTGTGTTTATTCTGTTCATTACAATGGAACATGGAATATAATTGTAATGGAACTTCTAAATTTAATCAGTGAAAGTTTAATGGAATTTGATATTTGGCTTAAAGTGGGAATCCTCTCCACAGGGCACCTTTGGTAAGTTCATTTCACACCACTGAACCCTCAAGCCTTGCCATTTCTGAAATAGAGGCCTTCCAGTCACCTTGCCATAACAATTTGGCCCTTATCAAAGCTTATCAAAAATTTTGACTGTGAACTGCATGACTGTCTGCTTACCATTCAATTTCAACACACCTTAACATATGTGACCTTACTGGGTCCCTAAGTTTTGGCTCATCAGAGTATATTATGGACATAATTGTGTTTGAGGACTAAAATTGATGATAACACTTAAAATATATTTATCTTTTTTGTAAATTGAACTTCTCACTGCACATACTGAGCAGCTTGCTTCACCTTTAGAGTTAGTTTACATGTGTTTTTGTTTTAAATCACTCAAGTTTTATTGGTTACACTTAGTGTAGTCCAAACTACACCTGCATCTTTGACCCATAAAAACGAGGTGTTGCTGTCCCCATCCACTCTCAGACTGCTCTTCAGGACTATTGCATATTGCTCGCTGATTCGTCAAGGCCTAAATATGACCATTACATCACTTGTAGATACCTTAGAATTATAAGGTTCTATCTGACATTTTTGTCAAAATTGAGTTATTGACTTATTCTTATTAAATGACAACTTATTTACATTATGGGATGTTTTTTAATAAGTTGTGTGTTACTCCCCTCGAGATGAAACAAAGGCTCAAGTCGTTTTTGATTTTAACTAACATTTATTCAGACTTGAGTCTGTAGTATGTCTAGTACATTCTAGCCTTGCACTTCTGTATGTCCCAATAATGCCGTCAGAACTACAAAAAAGAAATACATAAACTTAAATTAACCCTTTAAAGGTGATGTTGCACGTAATGAACAACATACATACAACCAAAAGATAAAGTGCACATTCAACATGTAAAGAAATACACGTAATTGGCTAATTATACATTAACATACGGACACATAATCATACATGTTCACATACAATAACACTATACGAAACATACCTCATTGGCCTCTTTAACTCAAGAGGAATAAACTTGAAGGGTTGCAGTTTCTCTTTAACAAACTTTTTGTACTTCTTAATCCTTACAAAAGTGTTATTAGCACAGCAACTTGTGGCTGTACTACTTGTAGTCCATCGGAAGAATATCTTGATTGCAATAATTCCAAAGCTAAACATAACAAGAAATAGGTCCCCCCCTCCCTTTTATAATTTTAGTTAAATAACTTTAAATGAATTAAGATGCATTAACAACAAATATACATTACTTATTTATTCTAATGATTACTCTGAACATTTTAACTATTTATTGACCTTTTAACTGTAAAGTGTATGTTTACAGAGTGTAATATATAAGAATTGCTTCTGACGGCAGCTACAAGTTGTTTACATTTTAAGACTTTTTATTTAAAAAAAAACAAATGTTACACACACTGTTTGCTATGGAATGCAAAAACTTTAAAGCTTAATATCTCAAAAACATTCAGAAGACAGATAGAAACTTATAAATCCAAGGTGACGAAATACAAGTGCTGTAAAAATATGCACATGCACAGTGAGCATGAATGGTCACATATCATGCGTTTTAGAAACTGGAGAAGAGTTTCTAATTCTAAAACGTTTCATTTCAAAACAAAAATGAACTAGTTTAAATGCCACTTTAGTCACGTAATTTTTCATTGTGTCTTATAATTGTTATATTGGCTTCTAGTGTGTGTGTGTGCAGGGTGTTATTTTGGCAGTTTTTTTCCACACTGACCAAGCCATCTTTTGTCTGAGAGCTGGATGTATAATAACACCTACAATTCTAAGACAATTCTACACTTTCATGTTACTGTCATGGTCTCTTTTTTATCTCTCCAAACCACTGTTATTACAATAACATTCCTAAAGTCAATGAACAAATAAATCAGCTCTCAGTATGTCTACCCTTTTTTTTTGACATTGTTTACGATTGTTTAGGAGATGTATGATGCAGCCATTCAAGCGGAGAGCTCGTCTGATTGGCTAAAGGCAGTGAAGATGTGGAATGAGTGTGTGAATGAGACGCTCAAACAGACTGAAGAGTGCAGAGCGCAGTGTGTGACGGCGCCACGGGTCATTCCTGAAGAGCCCGACACCGTACAGGGCGTTTACGAGAGAGCAGCAGGTGAACAAGACCCTGGTGGATGATATGACGTGATTGTCAAACCGTAATTTGCTCGAATACTTAAGTGGTTTATAAAGAGAATCATTTAAATATTGTGTTGCACCATTATGCATCATATAACTGTTCAGAATTTTATTTTTTTTTCTCTGCCTCCACAGACCTCTCTCTGTCTATGATGTCATGCCAACAGACGTGTGTGACCTTAGTTTCAACAAGACCTGGAAGGGTTTCTGCCATGGAGGATTTCCTGCCCTTACAGCTGGAGCACTTACATATTGCACAGTTCAAAGGTCAGACATGATTAAGGTTATAAGTAAAATGAGTACCATGAGTAAATAAAATAGTGGGTCAATTTAAATTTTTAGATGAAGTATGTCTTTAAGTCACATGTCAAGGTTTCTAGGTTCAAGCTCTCTATTGGATTATTCATGGAGGCTCATCAAATACTATTAATAAATGCTGTAATAATTATAATACAGTTATACTTGTAATACTTTTGAAAAGCATGATCGTAACATTTATATTCATGTCTAATTCATTCATTCATTTTCCTTTCGGTTTAGTCCCTTTGTTAATCTGGGGTTGCCACAGCGGAATGATCCGCCAACTTATCCAGCATATGTTTTACGCAGTGCATGCCCTTCCAGCCGCAAAACATCACTTGGAAACTCACATACACGCACACTCACACAATTCACCGGTACTAAATGTCTTTGGACTTGTGGGGGAAACTGGAGCACCCGAAGGAAATCCACGTGAACATGAGGAGAACATGCAAACTCCACACAGAAACATCACCTACACAGCCAATGCTCGAACCAGCAACCTTTTTGCTGTGAGGTGAACGTGCTACCCACTGCCCCACCGTGCCATCTGCCTAATATCAGACAGTGATAAAAAAATCCATGTTCACAAATTCATGTTTTGTTATGTTCACACATAACAAAATTATTAATAAAAAAAAAAGAATAATTGCTGGGCAAAAAATTATCATAATTAATTGCATCCAAAATAGTAATGTGTTTTGATATAATATATGTGTGTATACTGTGTATTTTTGTTATGTTTATATGAATACACACATGCATGAATTTATTTGAGAAAATTTTCACTTATTATATATATATATATTAATGGTAATTACAATTAACAAATATGTTTTGTAGTTTTCTTTATATCACAAATAAATATATAAAACACACACACATATTTTGTCAAAACAAACTTTTATTTTGGATGCAATTAATTGCGATTAAAAATAATACCTACAAATTCTTACATATAACCATTTTAATAAGTCGCATGTTATTAAAAGCATAAGCAATGATTTCCCCTGCCAGTGTTTACTTCCAAATGCCAGCGTTTTTATTTTAAAATGTATTTAAATTGATTTATTTTTTATTCTTCGCTGTTAAATATTATATTATTAGTTTTTTTTTACAAAAATAAAACTTTTTGTTATTTTAATTTCTTTTTTGACATATTTCTGTTCAACTTCAGTTTTATTACTTTTAGTACATTGATTTTAATTTTACTTAAAGGACAGCAATATTTCAATATTTTGTAGTTTGTATTTTTAGATTTAGTATTAGTTATTCACCTAGTGTTTGAATTAGATATTGCAGTCTAAATAAAAAATATTAAAGAGGGCTTTTTTTCCCCACATAGCCCTTCCCTCCTCCGACTTAACAGAATATGCAGGTTGTCGGATTTACTATACCAACAGGACCGAGTGTACCTGAAAATCTAAGCTGATCAGCTAATATTTTACAAAGGTAAAATTTGTTTTGTTTGTGAATAAAAAATACCTCATAAATCCCCATTTAAATTTAGAGGCTACTACGGTCCTTGGGAGGTCACATTTTCAGACATGCCTGCAAATATTGAGAAAGCCTTCAAGACTGAAATGAAATGCGCTGTGTTTTTTTTAAATTAATTATATAATTAAGTAGCTGCCAGTAAGCAGATCAAAGCAAAGACTGACACAGAACACACATTTTCAAAGGGGATTAACCAGGGTGTCTGTGGGGTCTTAAAATGTCTTAAATGAAAAGAAAAAAACTAAATTTTAGGCTTTAAAAAGACTTAAATTCACTGAAATATGGTGTTGTAGGTCTTTAATATTTCTAAACGGGTATTAATGTTCCTTTGTCTATCTAAAGCTACCCGGTCCAACCATCCATCTAAAAAACATTTATCAAAAATGTAATGTATATTAACCCTATTTGGCAATATGGTAATTATCTTCCATACACCACTACAATAACATCTGTTTAAAAGTTCTCCATGAATTTATGTATATATATATTCGTTGTACATAAATGTAGATTATTAGTTTTTAAAACTTGTTTTTTTTTTAATTATGCTAATCAAAAAAATATGTATATAACTAGAGTTTGCTTGAGTGTTTAATTTTATTAGGGCAAGTAAAAAAAATCCACTGGCCATTACAAAAAAAAACAAAAAACAGCATTTTAGCAAATTTGAAATTTATAGTGATCTTAAATAAAGATATAAAATATCTTAAATTTGATTCGGTGAAACCTGCAGAAACCCTGGTAACTGACTTTAACATTGTTTTTCAGATAAACAAGTTCACTTAGCATGTTTCTTTTATAATTGCAAACATGTTATAGTATTTGTATTCATTCGAAGAGTCAAAAACTTGCATACAGCACCTTTAACTCAATCCTGTTTTCTTTGGTGTCCTGCAGCTGGTGACCTGAAGGGGGCAGTGGAGACCTTGCGCTCCTTACTGCTCTTTTACCCCACAGATTCAGACAATCTGAGTAACCTGGATCTCTACACTCAGACTCTAGAGGGCGACACTGAGGCTCAGCAAACAGGTCCAGCACCGGTATGGTCAATGCACTGCTGGAGGAACTATATGACACATAGGAGATGAGCACAAACAGTGTTTGCATTTATAGATGAGTCTGTCTGTCTGATGGACAAGTGAATGAAGTCAATGGGCAAGATCAATACTCACTTAAAATGGCATGTTTATGTTTTTCAGGAAATTTCCAAGTATGTGAACAGAGCTTTGCAAGAGAAGAAACTGCTGTATTTTGGGATGGCAAACTTGGACTTTAAATTCAGTGACCCAGTAAATGCTAGCATTTTTTCTCTTTTTTATTTCACCTCTCACCTTTTGTTCTCTTTCAAAAGTAGCCAAAAAAGGGCTCATTATGTCTCTCTCTCTCTTTCTCTCTTGTGGCCATCAGGATCTGTGGACACCTGAGGATGTTGTGCCTGAATCTCTGAGAGAAACCTGGAGGTGAGATGGGGTCACAGTAGACAAAAAAAAGAAACAGAGTAAAATGAATTGGTGTTTTAAACAGTTTGGAAGCTTTGACAGTATCTTCTTTCTAGAGCAGAGAAAGAGCAGCTTCATGAGAAACTGAAGCAGGGCGACAAAATGGACGAAGTTGATGACAGTGGATTTTATGCAGGTATAAGCACCGTTTCGGTGCCTGATCTTTTCAGCAATAACAATAAATATTGATGCAAATTAATAATAATAATATTTAATTTAATACAATTAGGATAATTATTGATATTATTACACAGGTGAGTAGGATTAACAAACCACATATAGAAAACACATTCACTTATTCCTCTCACTGATACATAAATCAACACAAACACTGCATTTATGAAGGGTGATTCACACAGGTGAGTGGGCTTCACAAACCAACTGTAGAAACACTTGTATTATTGTGGTATTATGCAGTCTTTTTAAACAAATATTTTAAAAATAAATATATATTACTAGTTAAGTGACCGAGTAATTATTATTAATATTATTATTTAAAACTAATGTGTTAAGTATGTGTGTGAAAGTGTGGGTATGGGTGTTTCTTGGTGATGGATTGCAGCTGGAAGGGCATCTGCTGCGTAAAACATATGCTGGAGAAGTTGGCGGTTCATTCCGCTGTGGCAATCCCTGATTAATAAAGGGTCTAAGCCGAACAGAAAATGAATGATATGTGTTAAATAAAATATGAACAATTCTAACAAATTTATATCTAATATTTTCTTAATATATTTGTTATTTTTTTGCCTTACATGTGATAATAATAATAGGCTTCAGGGCTTAAAATTTTATAAAAAAAATTTTTTTTTATAAAAAAAAAAGATAAATTACCATTATTATTCAATTAAATATTAATGATAACTTATTATCAATGTCAGTAATAAAAAATAAAAGTAAAAACATTACTGTTGAAATATGTTCAGTTACATAACTTTTATTACTTCCTTATATGGCTCTACGATTTTATTGGAAACAATAATGAATAATAATTAATATTAGCATTAATTATTATTAGAAAAATTCAACATTGTATCATTTATTCATTATGTTTATTATTATTTTAAAAAGGACTAGATTTACATAAAAATGAAAAACAATAATAGAATAATAATAATTATTATTAATATTATTAAGTTTTATAAGTGTAACCTTCTCAGCCTCATTTTTTAATCTATTTTTCTCTTACTCAGGTGGTCCCATTCCTGTAGCTGGCGTAAGCATCACTCTGGATGATCAGGGCCTGAACGGGACCAATCGGGTGGTGCTGGATGGAGTTTTATCCCAATCTGAATGTGATCGCGTGATGCAGCTGGCAACAGTGAGCTTCTCAGTAATCACCCAAAAATCTGTTGCATCAATGACTGTTGCGATCAGTGCAGTGTCCAACAGAGTACTAACAGAAAGACGGCCACCTTTTTTGATGACAGGTTGCAGCATCAGCGGGTGACGGGTACAGGGGGCGACGCTCTCCCCACACCCCACATGAGAAGTTTGAGGGTTTGACTGTCCTCAGAGCACTCAAGGTGAGATATTACTCACTCAGGACACATACCAGAATTATTCATAAATATATAGATATTCACACTAGGGATTCACTTTTAATTTACGTTCCCAATCTCTTGATATGATTTGATTTTTGATTTTAGATCAAAATTATTTCCTTTTCTTTATAGCAAATTAACATGCAACTTGACTGTTGCATAAAAATAATAGGTTAAATAACAAAACAGGATTTAATCAACAAGCAAGTTAAATATATTTTAAACAGAATGAAAATGAAAGAGCTAAAGACTGAAACCAGCTTAAATATTCTTGAATAAAACATGTTACAGTGAGGTTTTTAGAGGTGTTTTGACAGTTCAGAGCCACCGTACAAGCGAACAGCTAGATACAGAATGTATTACTTTAGAAAATGCAGCATAGATTCCTCCTATTTTGCGTTTTAGATTCTTTTGAACACATGTAGCTGCTGTCTCAATCAGACAATGCTTCTATGTTCATTCTTGCTGTCAATTGCGGGAAAAATGATTGATGAAAAGTTTATGATAAACCACTGTGAGTTTCACTCAACTGCTGGCACAGCAGCTAAGAATTGAGCACAGATGACTTTATGACAAACACAGAGCAGAATATAAAGACAGAATGTGAATCTCCCCGTGCTGCTGTGAAGGCTGTCAGATTAGTGTGTGTGTGTGTGTACAGTTACAGTCCTCACGGGCGCTCGTTAGAATCAATATGAATATTCCGATCAAACTGAATACATTCTTACATCAACAACACATGGCAAGCAACGCATTGATAATAACGTGATGACATGATAATCGTAACTGAGCCAAACCGAACAGTGAGACCAGTGTAGGTTCAAACCCCTAATATACAGTAGCCAACATTTAAAGTGGATCAAAACCATTCATCAAGATTCATTCATTCTTTAATTATAAAGCACATAAAAAAACTAAAAATAAGATACATTATACTAAGAACACATCCATAAAATATACTTCAATAAACAGATTAGTCTCCCATAATTAAAAAAATAAGTCTTGAGTTTAAACTTGAAAATTGAGAGTGATGACACCCTTCGAATTGATGGTTAGTTGTATCAGAGATATTTTGGACCTGCTGTCACAAAAGCACTGTTTCCACATTTTTTTGACTTAGATCTGCAGATAGACAGCAACCTAAGGCTGCCAGGCTTAAGAGATCTGGGTGGAGTGCACGATTGCAAGATATCAGCTAGATACGGTAGTGCTAGACCCTTGTCCTGGAGGATAGTAGCATCTGTGTGCAAGTCTAATATGAACTAAGAATAGTTGATGTTGTGCTGCATCTTCTTTTGTTTAAAAGTAACTGTGTAGTTACTAATGCAGTGAAAATCTGTTTGCTAATAGTACATACATAAACACATTAGTGCATTGAATGACTTTATATTTTTGTGAGCTAAACTAGGTTTTTGTGAACTAAGCATTGTATCAGTTGATGAAATATGGTTATTTTCTGTAAAAAATTTAAACAGTCCTATAAAACTTCTGTATTTTTACAGAAAATTCCTGGCAACCACTGCCGTTTTTTTCAGTAAATTTAACAGATTTTTTTATCAGTGTAAATAAAATAAAGCTAAATTATAATGTTGTGATGATTAAATTAAACAATATTGCATTACTTTTATGTAACTAACTTAATTCAATCAAATAAATATTCTTTCTTTAGGGTAACTTAACTTGTTTACGTGTAACCTGTTGACATAAAAAAGTTAATTAAAGCCTACCTATTTTTATGAGTGTAAAACTACTGAACAACACCCTATCTTGCCTTGAAAACCTTATATAATCCACTTCAAATGTTGACTATTGTATATACAAAAATATTACTAGAAAGATCTAATAATATTTACAAGTAATAATAAAGCTATGACATTCAGCCAAGAGTGAATTAGTTTTTTCTTTTCATTGATAATTAATATTATTGATACAAACAGTGTAATATTAGGCTGCTGTTGCTTTAAGACATTATACACAGATCATGCCTCCGGCTTGGTTTCACTTTGCACTTGACTGACAGTTTACTTAAAAACTTAGCAGGATAAGCGAGCACATAAGCATATATTTGACTGTTGAAATTGACCTTATTCCTCATGTACAAGCGCAAGCAGCCATAGGAATCTTCTGCTTTCATTTACTTCTATTGATTTTTAGACAATAACAGCTTTTTATGCTGATTAATGTTGCAAACTGATCTTTTCTTATTATATTACTCCTCTTTTAATGTATAGTCATGAACACACTTGTTTGTAGAGCAAGTAGTTTGACCGTTACTGTCATTCATTATTCCTAGTCATTTCTCCCATAAGCAACTGAACCGGAAGTTCTAAAACAGGGGTGTCTAAACTCGGTGCTGAATGGCCAGTGTCCTGAGTATTTTAGCTCCAACTTCCTTCAACAGACCTGCCTGGAAGTGTCTAGTATACCTAGAAAAAGCTTGATTAGCTGGCTTAGATGTGTTTAATTGGGGTTGGAACTAAACTATGCAGGACACTGGCCCTCCAGGCCCGAGTATGGACACCACTGTTCTAAAACAATAGCAAAACAAGCGCATTTCCACATTGCACATCAGGGTCAATAAGCCAGAAAAGTGAAGTGAATTGACTCTGTCTCTGTGAGGTTCTTCAGGTCTCTTTCATGTTATGTAAATGGCACATTAAGCATGCTTTTGTGCTGCTCTAATATAAATAAACAGATTAACTGTGTAGAAAAATCTCTGTTGATTGACATTCCTATATTGCCTAGCCATACCACACTTTCATTGATGTGCTCCCTTCACATCACACACTTGCAAAAAACCTTGCATAAGAATAACCAAACAAATTATCAAAAAAATGCTTAACTTTACCTTCATAATGTACTAGAAAATGTGTTTTCCAGTTGGCTCAGGGCGGGCTGGTTAACCAATCAGATGCCAGGCTGCTGCATGGGATTGGGGAGACTGTAAAAGAGCTGATGGACTCCTACTTCAGAACTCCCTCTCTTCTTTATTTTGCTTACACACACTTGGTTTGCCGCTCCGCCATCACAGGTACCAGACTTTAGTGCACAAACAGGAACAGACATTCACACACACACACGCACGCACGCACACACGCAAAGACACACACACACACACACACACGCACGCACGCACGCCTTGCTCAAAACATGTATAACTGTGTGTTTATGTAGGACACCAGGAGGGCCGGTCGGATCTCTCTCACCCAGTGCATGTGGATAACTGCATCCTGGAGCCAGAAAGCAGACAGTGCTGGAGAGAAGCTCCGGCCTTCACTCATCGAGATCTCAGGTGCTGATACAACACATACACAAGATGAATGACAGTGGCTTGTTTAATGGTATAATGGGAATGGTATAACAGAAAACTTTGGCGGTATTAAAACCCTGACTTTTCAAAACCACAGTATACCTTGAAACCAGTTATCGTCCCATGCCTAGGGCAAACCGCTGAGCCACTGTGACACCAAGCCTCATTTATTGAAAATAAATGTATTTATCTAGAAAGCAATTAAGTAACTGTAGATAGATAGATGGATGGATGGATGGATGGATATGCATGTTTCTGTTATTAGGGTTGCAAGGGGGTGAACTTTACAGAGTTCTTGGAAATTTTTTGGAAAGTTTTCAGAAATGTCCTTTTTGTTAAACACACTCATGTTTGTATTGTTGCCTTTGCAGTGCAGTTCTGTACCTGAATGATGATTTTGAAGGAGGCGATTTCTTTTTTACCGATCGAGATGCCAAAACAGTAACTGTAAGTTTTAATTTAATTTTAAATGGTACGTTTTTAGAGTGAGTTTTAATTTTTACTCTTTATGTAAAAGAGGGGTGGAAATATATTGTAGTGTTCTTCCAGATGCTGCCCACTTCTGCTGAAAGTAGAGTTTAAACTGCCGTTTAGAAGATTATATAAACATGTGCTGCCCTTTCTTCTCAATAACAAATATAAACACTGTAGAACAGAAAACAATGAGAAAACAGCAGTTAAGAAAGCAGCTTCTGCATTTTGACATGATTTTGTTCACAATGACTTCACATCAGTTCATTCTTTGATTCACTTTTAAGAAAATCTGGGCCTTTAAAGTGAAAATTCTGTCATCATTTAATCACCCTTCACTTATTCCAAACCTGTTAGACTTTCTTCTGTTGAAACAAGAGAGGATATTTTAAATAAAGTTGGATCCATAGTTTCTGAGTATTTGTTTTTTCCTACTATAGATGTTAATGGCTACAGGTTTTCATCTTTCAAATTATCTTCTTTTGTGTTCAACAGAAAAAGGAAACTTAAAAAGGTTTGGAACCACATATTTACTCACCCGTAAATTGTCAATTTTTATTTCAGGATGAGCTATCCCTGTAAGTGAATGCCACCCAATCTCTCTGTACCTCATTTTTTTGTCCTCCAGGCAACTGTTAAGCCAAAATGTGGGCGACTTGTTGGATTTACATCAGGCCCTGTGAATCCCCATGGTGTTACTGCAGTCACGAAAGGTCGTCGATGTGCATTAGCACTCTGGTTCACCACTGAAAAACACCACAAGGATATGGTGAGAAACCGTTGTAGAGATTTAATGACAAAGTGAAATCGGACAGGTCTTACATATGTGCATTAACTCTCATGTTTAACCTTAACTTAGGAACGTGAGGAAGCTGAAGACTTATGGGCCGCAGATGGACAGAGTGTAGTAAAAGACGAGAAGGCCGATGGCGAAAATGTCGTAAAATCTGCCCGCAGCGGGAGAAGCCAAGGCAAAGAGAAGAGCAAAGATAGAGAACGAGTGACAGGCAGACGGGATGAGCTGTAAGAATGACAGACGATTAAAGACAATCAGAAAAGAGACTTTGGTAGACACTGAATGCCACACTGCTTTTTCACCTAGTCTCTTAGTGAATTATAATTTATATTTATGCCAGACTCTTCCCACCTGGTTTTGTGTTTATATGTGTGAGTGTGTGTGGTTATGTGTGTGCATTTGTTTCAGTATGTCTGATGTTTTTGTTTTTTAGTCAAATAATAAAGAAAAGGTGAATTATGAGACCCTGTTTCAACTGGTATTAACTTGAATTTTAGTGGTATTGCGAGTAGAAGTATATGTACTAATACTACTACTAAAAAGTACCCTTCTAAAAGTTCTAAGTATAAGAGTAGTGAGTATTACACTAGTTTCCAAACGGCAAGAATAAACAATTTATTAAATGTTGAAAATGCACGTGAAAAAAGCATGCGCTTTACTGAGGAATAAACTTTTTATTCGATAAGAAAAGATGCGCATTAACTATGATGGAAACACTTTTACCGAACAAATTCCAGTATGTGCATTAAAAAAGGTCATGTGATTTTGTTATAAGACATCATGTGATGATAAAAATGTGTGTGAATGGACAATCCAGCAGGATGAGCTCATTGTCAAACATTTGAAATGTTGTTTTGGTCATTCTAAAACGCCTTAACCATTGCAGTATTAGTGTGATAATTTTATTAATTACTTCCAAAACTGTCAAGAGCATCTCCGCATCTCACGCCTTCAAATGCCACCACGCATTCATTGCATGTTGACATTGTTTTTTGAGGTGCAAGTCATTTATTAAATAAGGAAAAGATTCACAAAGCTTCTCCTACCACAGCAAGTTCCGTTTTTACTTTTGATATTTGGCACTATTTAATCAGGAAGTGACGATTTTGTTCTCTGTGACTGGCTGGATGAAAAAGCAGGTTTAATCACATTTTTATCACAATTATTACATTTTATGTGATATTCCAGATATACGCATGAATTTTCGCCTTTTTCGCAAAGAAATTTCGAACCTTTGGATAAAAACATAGCTACTGTTAAAATTCCCTATATGTTAATGCTTTGGTTATGCATTTTGAATCCTGACTAGCGAGCTTTGAATGTCCAGCAGTTGCAAATGCAAAACCAATACATCTTTTTAAGTCTTTGAAAACGTAACATTCTGTAATGTGTAGTAATTGATTAAGGTCATTTCACTCTGTACATCTGTGCTGAATTCATAGTATCCATGTCTACAGGTTTGTCTGTCCAATGTGATATTTCTATGCACAAATTGATTAGACTGAAATTATGGGATTGATTTTTCCACTCGGCCAATTACCATAGAGAAGAAAAAAATAAAACAAAGTAGTGACCGCAGGTTGAAGGAAAATAATGAGGTAAAAGTACCAATACAAAACAAAAAAATGTACTCAAATATAGGTAAAAGTACACATTTTTTCGACTACTTAGTAAAGTGCAATTCCTTAGAAAAATTACTCAATTACAGTAATTTGACTTTTTATAATTCATTATTCTAAATCACTATACAGGCCCCTAAGCAGAAAGGTATTTTGTGGCTGTTTGAAAGCATTCAACCAAATGAGCATTTGCACTAAGAAAGCTACCTGAACATGTTTTTGACTACCTCCGTTAGTGGTCGAAAGTGAACAGACAAAATTTTTCAGACCTTGTTCACTAATATTTTGTTTTGCCTGTGTTTGGATTGACAATAACAACTTAATATCACGTGTAAATATGCCAAGTAATTGATTATTTTATAAGATCTACAAAATTGTTTCTAATAATTGAATAAAGATAAGTGAATGTAGTTGTCATAACATAAGTGCTAATTTACACTCACCAGACACTTTATTAAGTACAATTGTCCAACTGCTTGTTAACGCAAATTTCTAATCAGCCAATCACATGGTAGCAAACTAATGCATTTAGACATGTAGACATGGTCAAGACGATCTGCTGCAGTTCAAACCGAGCATCAAAAAGGGGAAGGTTATTTAAGTGACTTTGAACGTGGCACTGTTTGAGAATGCCAGATGGGCTGGTCTGAGTATTTTAAAAACTGCTGATCTACTGGGATGGGCACACACAACCATCTCTAGGGTTTACAGAGAATGGTCCGATACAGTGAAAATATCCAGTGGGCGGCAATTCTGTGTACACAAATGCCTTAAATATGCCAGCGGTCAGAGGAGAATGGCCAGTTCGAATTGATAGAAAGGCAATAGTAACCTAGATAACCACTCGTTACAATCTAGGTATGCAGAAGAGCATCTCTGAATGCACAACACATCCAACCTTGAGACAGATGGGCTATAGCAGCAGAATACCGCATCGGGTGCTACTCCTGTAAGCTGAGAACAGGAATCTGAGGTTACAATTCACACAGGCTCACCAAAGATGGGCCACAAAAGATTGGAAAAACGTTGACTGGTCTGATGAGTCTCGATTTCTGCTGCGACATTCCGATGGTAGAGTCAGAATTTGGTGTCAACAACATAAAAAAAAGAATGGATCCATCCTGCCTTAATGGTTTAGGCTGCTGCTGGTGGTGTAATAGTGTGGGGGATATTTTCTTGGCACACTTTGGGCTCATTAGTACCAACTGAGCATCCTATCAACGCCACAGCCTACCTGAGTATTGTTGCTGACAATGTCTATTCTTTTATGACCACAGTATACCCATCTTCTTATGGCAACTCCCAGCAGGATAACAAGTCATGTCATAAAGAACTAATCATCTTAGGGTGCTTTCACACCTGTGAATCGATTCAGTTGTTCCGAAACAGAGATTACAATTGTTACATTGTTGCACTTTGCTCTTGGAGCGGTTCGCTTTTACACTGCAAAGTTTCTAATCGGACCAAAAGAACTAAAACAAGTCACGTGCGAGTAAACTCTCCTCACATTGGTCAGAGTGTCAGGGTTTATTTTGCAGCGTCTCGCTAAGCTGTCAGGAGAGGTGGTGGTTCGGTGGTGATTGACAGGGTGCGCGTGCGAGACGTGTCTGAGGAGAGACGCGGTGGGGAGGGGTGAGAAGGGTGCGCGACCATGCCTATTTGAGGACCGGGAGGGAGACGCGAGATTGCCGGGAGATCATCACTCGTTTGCGGTCATCCAGAGACTCACGTAACTTCCCGCCCTACTCATAATTCTCTCTTCATATGGCCGTAAGCCTATTACATATCCATAAAACACTGTGATATAACCGCGCTCGGATCGGATCGCTTTCTCACTGCAATCAAACCGCTCCAGGGTTCGTTTCAATCAAGCCGAGACCACCTCATTCAAGCGATCTTGGAGCGATTACTTTGGCACGGAACAGAGTGCGATTGCCCTGTTCACATATGCCAAACGAACCGCGCTAACTGGGCAAACGAGATACGTTCCGAAACAAAAGTGTAGGTGTGAAAGCACCCTCAGACTGGTTTCTTGAACATGACAATGAAATCATTGCACTCAAATGGCCTCCACAGTCACCAGAACTCGATCCAATACAGCACTTTTGGGATGTTGCTGTGGAACAGGACACTCGCATTATGGATGTGCAGCCGCTATCATGTCAATATGGATCAAAATCTCTAAGGAATGTTTCCAGTACCTTCTTGAATCTATGCCATGAAGGACTAAAGCAAAAATTCCAACCCAGTACTAGTAAGGTGTACCTAATAAAGTGGCCAGTTAGTGTATATTACATGGGATTTTGCATAATACTTCATCCACACCACTTGGGGTCAGTATAAATCCAAGACCACCTTCATATAAATCAAATCAACAAACCAAAAAACCCAAACAAACAGCAAAGCACCTTTAATGTAACACCATGTTATTATTGTATCTCAAAATCAAACCCAATCGAAACAAAGACGAGCGGTTTAAGTGTTTAATACATCTCGACAGCGGCACATTAAAGCAAGTGAGTGGAGAGCGGGAGGAGGGGAAATGTGGACAAACTGCAGCACATTAGCACTGATGGAACGAGGGAGGGCAGGAGAGAGAGAGAGAGCGAGCGAGATTACACATAATCCCTCATAAATGAGTGCATTTGTTTATGAAGCTTACAAATCTCCCATTTAGAGTATGGAATAATAATCCAGGCATGAAATCATGTAATCATTCATACCCAACTCCCCGTTTCAACATGTCGCCCCTTCCATTAATCCCAAACCCTAATATCACTGACCCTTTAATGCACCAACAATCAGACTCTTGCCTTACTTATTTACTTAACTCCATTGATCCTCCATGCTTGTGTTAATCTTCATTGCTCTGTGAAATAGCGGGTAAAATGGCTAATGGTTGGCAAGGTGTTAATATCATCCAGTGCATCTGGGCTCGGAAAACAGTTAAGTGTTTAAGAGGGAAACAGATGTATAGACATATCTATAGTCTCTGATACCTCTTAGGTAAATGACTAAGACCCCTCTGACCTGTTTCCATTGACGTTTGACTATCACTGAGATATGCTTTCCTGAATAATCTCTTTCTCCCTCATGATAACATATAACATTACACAACCCGCTGCTGGATTTGCGTTGATGTTTGTAGTGATAATGGAGCAGTCAATGTTCCGTTCTCTGACATTTTTTTTAAAGCGAGACATTTGTTTAACCCTAAACAGCAGCAGGTTTTCCAGTGTGTCCTTTTTTAGTCCTCTTGGATCCTTTCTGCAGGAAACTTCAGACACACTTAATTGCTCTTATTTTTCTTAAACTACTCCGCTGATTTAAATATATTGTACATCGTTGTATTTTTTGTCTGGAATAAGATATGCTCAAGTTAAATTTGTATATTTATATACGTTCTAGTTTCACAATTATTCACTATTGTGCGTTTGTGACTGAAAATGTTAATAACAGTAACAGTTTGTATGAATTGAAAGTTGCACTATATGGACCTAGCCATATCACCCTGCAGCTCAAGTCCGGTTACTCGCTGAAGCTAAGCAGGGCTGAGCCTGGTCAGTACCTGGATGGGAGACCACATAGGAAAAACGTTGCTTTTGGAAGTGATGTTAGAGAGGCCAGCAGGGGGCGCTCAACCTGTGGTCTGTGTGAGTCCTAATGCACCATTAAAAGTGAAGGGGACACTATACTGTTAGTGGGTGCTGTCTTTCGGATGAGACATAAAAACCGAGGTCCTGACTCTCTGTGATCATCCCATGGCACTTTTCGTAAAGAGTAGGAGTGTAACCCCGGTGTACTGGCCAAAGTCCCTCAATCAGCCCTTACGATCATGGCCTC